CAAATTGCTAGGCCTTTCTTCTTAGTCTATTTGTAAACTGGAAGTTCTACGGAAACCTTTCGGCAAAGGGTGGCTGCACTTGAGGTGCACTGGCTGGAAAACAAACCTGAGTCCAGGTGTGAATTCTACTACTGATATCAGTGCCCACACCTAGTTGATTCCAGTTCCTGGATAGCTGTCTACAATCACTGCTCACCATACCCTCTGTTATGCAGATTACCACAAGTTGTGGCCTGCTAGACGCTTCCTACACAATCTCCTAAAATCCCAGCATGCTGCTGTTCCGCCCAAGCTCCACAATGCAGCCAGTGTGACCTTTCCAAAATGCATAACTGATTGGGTCACTTACCTGATTAAAAGTTTTTCACTACTGTTAGAATAAAATCTAAATTCCTTAATACACATCCTTTACAGCCTGGCCACAGCCCATCTCTCTTGGCTCCTCTCACTTTTCTAAGCACTAACCACTCACAATTCTTTCAGTTCCTCTATTGACCCATATTTTGTCACACTTCCTAGCCCTCACATATCCTAGTCTTCCTACAGGAATACTTTTTCCTCCTTCTTACAAATTTACATGCCAAGGAATTATTACCCTGTGTTAAAGGAAATGACTTGCATTGATAATGGTCATTCTTCATATATATAATCTGTTAACAACCCCCTATATTTATCGAGTTTTAACTATATCCATATTAACTACACAGACTTTATTTTACAAATTAAAATTCTGAAGAACAAGACTGACTCAGGGGCAACAAGCCGGTCTTTGTCTAATTGCCCAGCAGCAGATGTTCCGGACCTGGCCTTCCCTGATCCGTGACCAGTGATTCCAGTGCGATTCCAGGGGGCAGAGGACAGCAGCTTCTCCAGGGACACTCAAGGAGTAGGTTAGTATTGAGCCCGGTGAGTTGGGGGTGGAGGCGATTTTTGCTGAAGAACCATCTCGTGGGATGTCTTACGCCTGCTCTTTGTGGCTGTGTCACGTGTTCTGGGGTTCATTTCGATTCATCTTAGAGCAGAAACAGCCCCCCACCCAGCCCCACCCCCACCCCCACGCCACAGTACTTCCTAGGCTATAATCTTTATAAGAGCAAATTGCCTGCCATTTCTCCCACGGTACACGTGGGGGGTCCAAACTATCAACCTTTAACTTAACAGCCAATCACTTAACTATTGCTCACCAAGGCTTCTTTTGAATGCTCTTCAGGAGGATAAATAATATTTAAGGCATATAGTGGCAGTTCTCGCCCTAAAAGCAGGAAGTTGGAGCCTTTGTTTTCCCTTAGCTACTTTAGAAAGTCGACTTACTGTCTAAGAACAGGATGCAATCAATCGGACCCTTGTCAGGGTTAAATAGGGACTGTACCCTACCCATAAGGGGGTGGTTCCACAATCCAGAAGGAATGGAACCAATTGCAACCCAGAATCTTGGGGCAAGTTGGCTAGGTCAGAGTGGGGTTTGAGCACTGAGGGCTGTCCGTATCCTGGTAATGACAGGCATTCTTGATGTAACTTGTCATGAAAGGAATTCATTTCCTTAATGATCCCTGGGAACTTGCGACTAGCAGGATCGACATGGCCCAGCACTAGCTGCTACAATAGCTAAGCCTATTCCCAGGACCTACAGAACGAGACCTGAGACGCAATGAGGCCACCACAGACTGAGGAGCCTGGATGTAGAAGTCAGCAACCTTCCCAAACCCCCTAAAGTTCGGGGAATTATATGGAGTCTCTGAATGGTGCAAACGCTTAACGCTCTTGTATGCTAAATGAAAGGTTGGAAATCCGAGTCACCTTTAAGGGCTTTAGAAGAAAGGCCTGGTGGTGTGCTTTTGAAAAAGCAGCCACTGAAATGTTGTGGAGGTTCGGACCATAGCCTCCTGGGGCAACGTGGTAAACTGGCATACTATATTCATAAAGTGTATATTCTTCCTCCCAGTGTGGCTGAGTAGTGTCTAGGTTACCAGAAAGTTATCGAAGATACAACTATTGGTTTCTACTCATCTGAACAAAAGATAAAGAAGAAAGCCAAGGATTCAAAGAGAAAGTAGTCCATAAGACTAATAGTCGCTGTGAATCACAGCCTCATCTACACTGAGGTCAAAAAACTCTGGATTATATTCAACTACTCTTACCCACCATTCTGCTCAGGGCCACAGTAGATAGCCCTGACAGAACAAGAGGAAAAAATATGGAACAGAAATCAAAATCTTAAAAATAACAAATTGATTAGACTAGATGAGACTGGAGAACTCACCAAACCATTGTACTGAGATACTCTTTAACCCTTACACCAAATTACTCCTGGGCATCACCTTTTAGGTAAACAACAGATTGGCTCGTAAAATTTAAAATATTACCCATGAGTAATAACCTCCTGGAAAAAAATCTATATGAAACCAAAGGGTCAAAAAGTGCTCTCAAGCCAAACAAGAAGGTAACAGATGGAACTACGAGTACTGGAAATGGCACAACCAGAACAGGACTCTTGAGGAGGTGACACGTTGTGAAAGATATAACCAGTGGCTCTGAACAATCAGAGCGGAAATTGTTAAATGGGAGGCTGATTTGCAGTGTAAACTTTCACTTTACACTATTGTGTAAAACAGCCATGACAGAAGTCCTGTGAAGCATTCCTATCTCCACGCTGGCACATGTGGGACAGCCATGAGTCAGAATGAATCCTATGGCAGCTAGTTCTTTTCTTACACAGAACCAAGGTGTTCCAAAAGAGTCCTGGTTTGCAAAATTTGGTCTTGATCTTCAGAATTCTACATTGAAGAAATAATACCATTGCAGTTATAAGGATAAAGTTAAAATTCTTGACAAATACAGAGGGTTATACACAAACAATATGGAAGAATGATCGTTTAATAAAAGTTCTTTCAGCTCAGAATAATCATGTCTTTTTCATGAATTTGAAAGAAGAGAAAAAAATGTTCTTAAACTCATTTATTCAAAGACTTTAGGATCTTTGCCTCTGATCACAGCCGAGCCCATAAAAATGTTATATTTATGTCTAAAGTATTCTGTATACATTGAAAACAAAATAGTTGTCTGGGATCTCATGAAAACATCTTTGTGGTCTTCCCAACCATGCGAGTAACAGGCAGAAATATAACAACAACGAAAAGTGACCCAGTAAAAGACATACAAATCCCAAAAGATGAGTGGTACGTTGCCCTGTCAAAACCAGAGGCAGACACAAGAAGGGAAAGACCCCTGAAGTCACTGGCTGTAAGAATCAAGGGCTGTTACCTTGATTGAAAGTAACCTTCAATCAAGGTCACAGTGGTATGGCGTCTCTGGTTCTGACCATCATTGTGAGCATACAGCCAGCCTCGGTGAGAAACAACTGGTTTCCAGACAGAGGAATGTGGCTGAGAACCAGGGCACCCCGACTGGACCCTCTTCTCAGTGCCTTGGAAAACATACTGGAGAATACAGTTGGGTTTTAAATCGACTGAAAGCTTCCATAAAAGGAGTCTAAATGCAGGCTACATCACATCCAAAAGCTTCCCCACAGAAATTCCTATTATGTACATGTAAGTGGGAACACAGCAAGTCCCATCTGGTTGGGCAGCAAACATTCCCTGCTGCATGAAATTCTGTGGTTCTTCTTCTCAGTGCCAACTGCATGTTCACACTAGACCAGGGCCCTGAGCACAGAGGTGTAGGTGTGCTGGAGAATGAGCTAGTAGAGCACGCGATGCTGCACCATTCTTTGTTGCTAAACCGTCAAAACCACAAGGCAAGATATTAATAAGGGTTTCCTTTTATAAATGCTCTAACAGTCCTGAGCCAAAATTAAGACTGATGTTACTCAGAGTTGCTTGGCAAAAGAGACGACATTCTCTTTCTCCATCAGCCTCCTATCAATACACAAATAATACATAAGCAAATGCAGGCTGAAGACATTCATCACTAGTGATTCTGACTCTTGACTCTCACAGGAAATGTCAGCGCTCTGAAGTAAGTGTGCAGTGGAATTAGCCTTATTAAGAAAAGAAGGCACAGCTGGGGAGGTGACTCAGCTCAAGTGTCACCTCCTCACAGAGGCCTCTGCTGACAAGCCTGGGGTCCCACACAGCTTTATTGATGAGGCAGGAATTTCTGGTTACCCTGGACTGTGTTACTTCGATAACTATCAAATGATCCTGTGCATTTGGCTGCCATTCTTGGCAAGTTCAATCATTTCTAACCAAAGTTTTCACTGAGTCCAGAAAACCCAGCCTTCTCAGCAATTCATCAAAAACATCTCATATTGGAAGGAAATAGTTCTTGTTTTCTTTTTAATAGGTGTGGAGTTCATTAAATTTGTACCTGGAAACACAGTGGCCCAAAGAGAAGCCACTCCAAGGGTGGCCCAAGGGTGGCCCAAGGACCAGCAGCATTCGCACTTCTGGGCATCTTGTAAGAAAAGCCCACTCTGGGCCCATCCAGATGAGTGCATCAGAGTTTCTACGGGTGGAGCCTAGACCCCTGTGCTTTCCATTGTGAATTGCAATTGGTTTTAAGAATCCAGGTGATTCTTACACACCTTAATGTTTCAGAACCACTGCTTGGACATAAAAATATTATGTAACAAGTAAGAGTGCCTGTGATCTTAAGTGAATCATTGTTATTCGGAAATAAAGGTGGGAGTAAATCAGAAATGGCATAAGGATTAGGACTTTCCCCCGGGACAATGGGCACATTCGTGCTGGAAATTAGAGTTCTAAAAAAATCAAGAAGAGGAAGAGAGTTATATTCATGAATCCACAGCACTCTGACTGCTCCCTCCTCTTGCCCCAGATCACTGGCCTGTTCTGTCTCACGGAGGTTTCCACGTCTGACGACAACATCGGCAGACAGACCACACTCCTTGTCTACAAGACTCTCTCCTTCCACCTCAAGGCATCCCTGGGGCAACATGGTCTACGGCTTGCTAGGAGTCAATGTGAGAGATGAGTGACCAGGGGGGCTCAGAGAAAGAGAGGCTGGGGAGAGAGTCATACCATGATTTAGATGTCTGATGCAGTCACTCAGGAGTGCACTAAACCTCTTCTGGCCCGGGGCCTCCTGGAAGCAGAAGTAGGCGTGTCGGAGGAAGGGCTGCCACAGGTACACGGGGAACTCCTTTGGCAGGACCACGATGGGCTGAGCATTCTCCTTCTCAGTGGAGGCTAAAGAGTTGGGAGAACACAAATAGGGTTTCAAAAATGGTGGTGCAATGGTTAAGCGCTCTGCTGCCAAGCTAAATGTGTGTGATACAAACCTCCCAGCCACCCCAGCGGGGAGACCAGGCCACCTACTCCCATGATGACTAGATCCCAGGAAGCCTGTGTGGCGGGGCGACTGTCCCGGAGGGTCACTACGAGATGCAATTGACTTGACAACAGAACAGCATCTTCTGTTGAAACATTTCTTTTTTTAAGCCTGGGAAGCTAACTGTTTTTTGATTTGATGGTATCAGCTCTAAAACGTGTTGAATCATAATGCTTACTTCTGTAAATGGGGCCTTGTCGGGGAAATAGGCCTTTTCCTTGCAGGTGTTATCAATTCGATTAAGCAAGGTCATGTTGATGTGCCAAAATAAGAACCAGAACCCATTGTTGCGCACTGGAAAGTCCCCTTTATGTAAAGCAGAGCAGAGCTACGACCCCACACGGTTTCTACGTCTGCCAGCGGCACAGAAGGCAAGGGCGGGTGACAGCTCTCTGCTGCGGAGCTCGACACCCCTGCCTTTCGATAGCACTCAAGTGCTCACCTGTGTCGCCAGGCCGGCTGAGGGTGAAGCAGGTGGCCCCTAAAACGAACCGCTTCTGAGCTACTTTAGAAAGGAGGGGGGGGGGGGGCGCAGCCTGCAAGGACCTAATCACAAACCAGGGAACGTCAAGGGAAGCTCAGAGTAGCAGAACCTAAAGCAGATGAAGAAGGCTCATCCCCCAAGAATGACAGAGACCAAGCCTGCCAACTCCCTGAATTCAGAGGTATAGCCTCCATATCGGTGAGAAAACATGCTTCTGCTCTGGAAAGCTGTTCTGTGCCGGCACCCTGAGCAAACGAAGAAAGTGTTTGCTAACTGGGTAGGACATGGTGTCTTCATAGAATGTGGGTACGAGGAGGGTGGGATTAGAATTCACTCTCCTTAGCATCCCTGAACCAGCTTCACTGCACAGGAACAATGGAGGTCATCAGACATCATCTCTCTCCCTGCTAAGTGTCCAAATACAGAGCTCACCCTTCCTTACCCTCCGAGCGCAGCTGAGCTGTCCAGCCAGACAGGCACTCTCTCCACCCTGGTGCAGGTTCCCGCCATCAGGTCTGCTCTCCGCCCAGCATCTCCTGCCCTCACCCTGTCACTCCTGCCTCTCCCACTCACTCTCTTTCCTCCGTCAACCGCTATTCCCACCTCACTCTAATTCTGACCCCACCAGCCAAAGAACCACTTTAGGAAAGCAGCAAAACATGGAGGCATTTTTGTATATGCCATCTTAACAAATATTGTAGAAAGAAGATGTTCATTTATAACATTTTGTGCTCCCCCCACCCCACGCAAAGATAATCCTTCTCTTTTGTCAGTCCAATAGAAAGAGTATCTTACAGGGACTCATCTCGATGAAATCATTGTAAAACAGTTCTCCCTCCCCTTTCCAAGGCTTCACACACTTTCGCAAACAACTGAAAGCAGTACTGGCTCGGCATTGGAAAGCTGCAGCATGGAACAGCGGGGTGGAACTCTCCATGCACGGAACAAGTAAAGCTGAGTAGTTTTGTACAAAGGCTAGCTTGCAGAGTGGGGTGTCTCTGGGCACTCAACTGGGGAAGCTGGCCTTACTTATCCATTGAGCTTGAACTGAATACCTTCAAGTTGAGGCTTCCAGTGGAAGGGTAGGCCTCACTGGGCATTTATTAGTAGACTTGAAAGAAGTGTAACATGTCCTGATAAACAACTATCTTGAGCATTTCTCATTGTCATGATAACTAGTCAACTTTCTTATTAAATCTTTTAATCATGAAAAAAAGAAAGAATCGCTGCAGCAACTCCAATAAAATCCACCGACTGGCCTCCAGTCATCTCTTACTTAAACTCTGACCGCCGTCTCCCAGATGCTATCAGCTTGCATTTTTTCTGAGTTGAGTTGCAAGAGTATGACAAATGATGTAGTGTAGACTTTCCTATTTTTAAAACTCAAAAGGCCACACCACACAACTTAAAAAAACAACCAAAAAAAGGTCATTGAAATTCCCCCGGCTGAAGTCTAAGGCAACTGGTATTAGTCACACGAGCCTTCTAATTCTTATTCCTTTTCATTCCTTTTAACGTGATTTCATCCTTAATCAATAAATACATTGTCTGGTCGGACTGATTTCACTGGAAAGTCCTTTGGGGACATTCTGAAGTGGTGACAGCGTGTTGCTCTGGCTGTTTCTAGCTGCAGTTCCAAAGCCAAGTCAACATATCAGTAGAATTCAAATTAGAAAATACGATAATGTGCGTGATCATACATGCAAAGTGTTGTTTTAGCTTGAATTACTTAGTAACAATTTGGTAATGTAGCTTTATGGTCCATATACTAATCCTATAACCATGTTATTTAAAACACTATGCTAAGCATTTCTGCACCAAAATAACAATTGATGCAATGATTATTTTCTCCATACATTCTAATGAAATGATTATATCCACTAATAAAAAGCAGGGCTCTCTTCAAAACCAAGTAATTACTGTGTAGTATGATTTACACACAGCCAGATGGGGTTATTACATTAGCTACAGTTCATAAATCTCCATGAACTGCTTTATTTGATCTATATATTACATCCATCACTTTATCTACGTGGAAAAATTTAAATGAATGAGAATCAAAGAAGGCAGGAGCTGAAAAGGTCTGTTCAGATTTTTAAGCTTAAGCACCCCCCCCCCATTTTAAAGGAAGAGAAATAAAAACCCAGAGAGGTGAGGTAGCCCATTAAGGTAAGACAGTTGATAAATGACACAGTTAGAATCAGATAAAAATACAGTCTACCGATTCTCAGCCCAATATCCTTTCCAAGACAACATTCTATTTATGCATATGCTAATTAAGGCAATGTCTTTTTAAATATAGAGGTTCTGGGTTATCACGATACCTTTTTATAGCATTGTGTCAGTTTAGGATATTTTATTACGTATCACCTAAAATTAGGGGGAAAAATATTCCTTGACAGGTCTACCAGGCTTGCTTACCAAAGATAGGTTTTGATGTACTGTGCAATGACCCCCACTGGTTTATTCTGCTTCCCTGTGATGTATTCCAAAGCCGCACGGTCTTTGGCTGAATGCACATTTTCTATGCATAAAAACCCAGTAATTTATTAAGCATGATATAAAATAATAGAAGTGGCACTATGCTGTCCTAATTTAAAGAAATCCCATCTTCCCAAATGTGTGCATAAGCAAATGTGGTGAAGAAAGCTGATGGTGCCCAGCTATCAAAAGATAGAGCGTCTGGGGTCTTAAAGATAAACAAGCGGCCAACTAGCTCAAAAGCAACAAAGCCCACATGGAAGAAGCACACCAGCCTGTGTGACCACGAGCTGTCGAAGGGATCAGGTATCAAGCATCAAAGAACAAAAAATCATATCATTGTAAAGGTGGGTGAGTGCAGAGTGGAGACTCAAAGCCCATCGGTAGGGAACTGGACACCCCCTTACTGAAGGGTTGTGGGGAGGAGATGAGCCAGTCAGCATGCAGGGTGGCAACGATGAAACATATAACTTTCCTCTAGTTCTTAAATGCTTCCTCCCCCCCACCACTATCATGATCCCAATTCTACCTCACAAATCTGGCTAGACCAGAGGATGTACACTGGTACAGATAGCAACTGGAAACACAGGGAATCCAGGACAGATGACTCCTTCAGGACCAGTGCTGAGAGTGGTGATGCCTGGAGGGTGGAGGGAATGTGGGGTAGAAAGGGGGAACCGATTACAAGAATCTACGTATAGCTCCCTCCCTGGGGGATAGACAGCAGAGAAGAGGGTGGGGGGAGACGTCAGACAGTGTAACATATGACAAAACAATAATAATTTATGAATTATGAAGGGTTCATGAGGGAGGGGGGAGGGGGGAAGGAGGGGGGAAATGAACAGCTACTATTAAGGGCTAAAGTAGAAGGCAAATGTTTTGAGAATGATGAGGGCAGCAAATGTACATATGTGCTTGACACAATAGATGTATGTATGGATTGTCATAAGAATTGCACAAGCCCCAATAAAATGATTAAAAAAAAAGAAATCCCATCTTCCGTTGTCTGTGGAGCAGGAGGGTCTGCCCCACAGTGTCTCAACCTTAGTGGCCCCTTCTCCATGGTTGGACTGCCCTGTGCATTGTCAAGTGCTTAGCCACACCCCTGGCTCCAGCTACTGAAAGTCTCCAAGTTCTCTCGCCCCAGAACTGCCCCACCAGCCAAACTGTGAAAACCAAAATTGTCTCTAGACATTGCCAAATGTCCCTGGAAGACAAAATCGACCCTCCTCCGCACATCCTTGGTCCCTCTCCCACCACCTATGTTGAGAAACATCAAGATAACAAACCACCCCAAAAGCCACAGTCTATGAATCTGAACAAGATCAGATAGCTTCGTCTCCCACCCCTATCACCCCGCTCCCCACTCCTGCTGGCAGCAGCTCGTGGGTTCCCTTGCAGTTCGCAGCCAACGCTTATCTGACACTGCCACCAGGGTTCCTGGTCTAGCAGAACAAAGCTTACTGAGATACTCTGAAATGAGAATGGTGTTCAGTCATTCACCAGTAAAATCTCAAAACTCACTGCCACTGAGTCAGTGCTGACTCACAGTGACCCCTTGTGGGTTTCTCAGGCTGTAACTGTAACTGAAATGGGAGTAGATAACCAGTCTTTCTCCAGAGTTGCTGGTGGTGGTTTTGAACTGCTGACCAACGATTGACCACTACAAAACCAGGGCTTCATATGCAGAGTGACCTTGTCTCGCCCACTCACCAATAGGGTCTGGGAAATTCCGATCAGATAACAAAGTGTATTCCTCTTCGGAGATCAGCACCTTCCCACCAGCAGGAAGAATTCGGCTTTTAGGCACAGTGCCTCTCTGGTAGGCCTGGGGAAAGGTATAAATGAATTTTTTTGGTTTGTTTGTTTAACAGTTTTTTGGATATATAATTGAAATATATAATTCAATAGCACAATCACATCAAGAAAAGCTGTATAATCATCACCACAATCAGTTTTAGAATATTTTCTTCATTCTTGTATTCATCATCGTTACTCCTGATTTCCCATCAACCTCCCCTGCCAAAGTCCCAAGGACCATTATTAATGCAGTCACTGTCTCTAACGATTTACTTACCCTGGATTTCATATACAGAAAAACATTTTTTAACTAACAACAATAACAAAAATGAAACAGATAAAACCCTTAATAGGAAAGAAAGCAAAAGATATTTTAAAAACTAGAACAAATTGAAATGGATCATAAGGGAGATCAAATGATCTCTGCATCTGTAAGAATCCACTTTCCACTGCATTCTGCATGAGAGTGAGGCTAGTCAGATCCTGGTCTATCGTCAGAGAGGATTCACCAGAGGCTTAATTCACATGAATTTCCCCCTCACTTGTTCTTTTTTGGAGGGAACTACAAAGAATAAACAGACCCAGACACAAACACCCACGAATAGCAATAATCCCTACACTATGTCACTGAGTAAGATTTATCCAGATAGGTTTTGCCTACCCACTACTTACACAGTAGTCCCACATTCAGCACTTCTGTATGAATAGGCCATAATTTCAGGGAGATTTACTGAAAGGATCTATCTCATAGGGGGTAACATAATGTTAACAATTTCTTGATATCCTACCCTGCATTTGACATTTCATATCATGTCTGAATCATTCTGATAGTAAGCTCAAGGGTGATGACACACAAAGGTACTTTAGTACCAGGGGTGCTTGGTGACTAGTGTGGGCCCTGGATGGTGACTAATCAGACTGAAGAACACATGTAACTGTGGCTATGGTTGCCAGGATCCTCTGCCCCAAACATGAAAATATTGCCATGATAAAACGTGCCACTGCATTGCCTCAGATGTTCGATTGCTCAGCAGGAAAGCGATGGGGCAATACATCTGAACAAATTCTGGCCAGCGTCCAAGAAACTGCATTATTTGGTCAGTGTAAGAATGGTCCAGTCTGTCAAGCAGCTATACCCATGAGGACTGGGACAGAAAAGATCAAATGAAACAATATCCTTCTGATTGGGATACTTAAGTCAAGGCACGACTTTGAGCTACCAACCTGAAGACACCCTGAGACCTGAAAGCCAGGTGCTGTGGAGCCCAGAATCCAGAGCGCATGCTTGGACATCATCACCATAATGTTGACCTAGGCGATGAACTCAATAAGCAATGTTGGAGACCCAAACAAAACAAACTTGTGCATTTCCAAGAAACTGATTTCCATAGTTATTAGAGGAACCACTAATCCACACAGAGGCAGAGATCAACAGAGAAACACCTACCGTTGTGTGATTTCAAGAAAGTTTATAAACAACCCACTTCAGACTGAATTGCATTATGATGAGAAACAATTTGGCTTTTACAAACATTCTATTAGTCAATCTTCAGACAGCAATATGCAATACAACGCTTCATGTCCAGTTTACAAATGAGAAAAACTCAGCTCCAAGAGTTGGTTGCCAGGCATCAATTAGGGGTCAGTAGGTGACAAACCCAGGCTGCATCCCCAGGTTCACCCAGTCCCAGGGGGAGTGTGCAAGAAATAGGGAGTGACTATGCAGTAAGAGTGCTTCACCTTTCACCAGACAAAACTGACCTCTCAACAACATAGTAGGTCACACCTAGGTACTTAATGCTTGGTACTCTCAGGTTTACTTGGGACTTCTAATCACAAAGCCTGTGGTTCACACTCACCAGCTGTTCTGTGGGAGAAAGAGGAAGCTACCTGTTCCCGTAGTGATTGCCAGCCTTGGAAACATTATATAGGGTCCCTGTGAATCAAATCAACTCACTGGCTGTAGGTAAGTTAGATTTATAGGATCACTGTGCATCAATCACAGTAGGTTGGATTGGGTTTGATTTGAATGCTGGAGATACAATGGTTTAGTGACAGCTAACTAGAAGTTTCATGGTTCAAGCCCACCCAGCGGGTCTTCATGAGAAAGACCGGGGCAGTTCTACTCGGTAATACCAAGTAAATCATGGAAACAGCAGTTAAGAAATCTGAGACTCACTGCCCGGGGCAAATCTGCTGCCCCAGACCTCTTCAGAGTGTGGCCAAGATGTCACTTTGAAGACTAAGGTGTACCTGACCCAATCCACGGTATTTCCAATGGCCTCATGTGCATGAAAAAGCTAGACGATGAATAAGGACGACACAGAAGAACTGGTGCATTTGATTTATGGTACTGGTGAAGAATATGAAAAGAACCAGGGACTTCCAGTGGAACAAATAAATGTTCCATAGAAGTGTGGATGGTGAGATCTCATCTCACATACCGTGGGCACGCTACCAGGAGAGACCAGTCCCTCGTAAAGGACATCATGCTTGGGAAAGTGGAGGGTCATTGAAAAAGCAGAAACTCTCGAGGAGATGGATTGACACCGTGGCTGCAGCAGTGGGCTCAAACTTAACAGTCAGGGGGATGGTGCAGGCCTAGGCCATGTTTAATTCTACGTTATGTGGATGTGTTGTAAGAGCTGGCTTGGCACCTAGCAACACCTACTAAGAGCAGTACAACACTTAGCTTATAGTAAGTTTTCAGTAAGTATCTGTTAACTGACTTGAGTATTTGAATGAGTGACTACTTATTGAATGACTCACCCAACCCAGTCAATATTTATGACTACTGAAAAGCCATGGTAACAAGGAAATGCCTTACCTCTTTGTTCTCATAGCTCTCCACAGCAAAATCATTTTTAACCACAATGTATCTGTCCTTCCATTTCTTTATGTCTTCAACAAACTGTGATACCTCTGCTTCATACAAGACAGTTCCAGGCTCCAATGGTGGCTTAAAAAATAATAATATGATTAACTATCACAGCAACAAAATAACCTGACAGTCTATACAAGAAGATCCCGGGGGCACAACTCGTTGTTAGAATAGAATTATGCCTTGCATACATTTGGCATTTAATAAGTGCTTGGTCAACTGTGGGAGAGAAGTGAGTAAGTTCAAGTTGTGGACAACCTCATTAATCCCCTGACTGTGCCTGGAAAACAGGAGAATTAGGAGGCTATCCTCCTATTAATTCCTGCTTCATGTCCAGCCTCAAAAGTCAGATCCAAAAATCCGCCTGGGCATCAAGCTATAAACACTTAAGGCCTCATCATACTCCTCAAAGGGAAGCTGTTTGCTATTTGCTTAAACAGCAAGCTTGTATCAGGTCAACACTCCGTTTTACCTCTTCTGCTTAAAATATTGAGAATTTCCCATTAACCCTGGTGACCTACATGCTGGAGGACAGAGTCAGATAGACTCCTAGTTAAGCCTTTCTTTAAATTAGCTGTGTAAGAGATAATTCATACTTGCCTCACTATGAAACTCTCACATTACTTCCAACTATGCGAATGGGCTTCCTGTTTGGTCTTACTATTGCTCCTTTCATTAAAGAAGCTTGATGGCACTTTCCAGTAAGCACTGGGCTGCTAACTGCAAGGTAGGCAGTTCAAACCCACCAATCACTTCTCAGGACGAAGATGAGGCTATTTGCTCTTATAAATATTTACAGCTGCAGAAACCCTCTGTAGGGTTGCTACAGGTGGGAATTCACTCAATGGCAGTGCATGTGGATTGGTTCCCTTCACTGGAAAATCATATAGTATTTTAAACTGCTGAATACAAAGTTAACGATCTGAAATGTAAATCCCTACCTGACTGACAATTTGTTAAAACCGTAAAACAGAACGAAAGCAAAAGTCTTCAGCGATGGACCAGTAGCCAACATCCTGATAACTGGAGAAAAGACCAAAGTCGTCAAGGAGTTCGTTTCACTTGAACTTGGATCCACAATCCACTCACATGTAGCAGCAGTTAAGAAATCAAGCAACAGATAGCACTGGGCGAATTTTTTGCACAAGACCATTTTTTAAAGTGTTAAGGAGGAAAAATGGCACTTGGAGGTCTAAGGTGCACTTGACCCAAGTCATGGTATTTTAAATCGCCTCAAATGAATGTGAAAGCTAAACTATGAATGAGGTGGACTAGGAAAATAAACAAGTTTGTCTTGGAATCAGTACAGCCAGAATGCTCCTTCAAAGACAAGAAGGGAGAGCTCGTGGCACATACTTCAGACATGCTCTCGGGAGAGACGCACCCTTGGAAAAGGACGTCGTGCTTGGTGAAGCAGAGGGGCCAGGGAAAGGGAAAGGCTGCCAGGGAGATGGATTGAAACACTGGCAGCAGCCAAGGGCTCAAACCTAGCAATTGTGAGGTTAGTCTCTTTCTTTTTTTCTTTTTTCCTCATTAAAAGGTAAGACGGGCCTCCATTCTTCTATTTAAATGAGGTTGAAAAGTCATGGTATAAACAGAACTTATGTGGAGCGTTTCTGAAATCTGGGCCGCTAAAGTCAGCGAGTACGCTGGTTAAAAATGCGATCCATGTGTGATTTAAGATATTTGAATCTATGGGAATATGGCCCAGAATTTTAACTTTTTAAAGGATCCTCAATGTTTGAGGACCATGGTCTTATAGACCTAATAATTAATTTTACCTATGTGCCCTGGTGATGAGCTCTGGGTGTAGTGGTTATACATTGACTGCTAACCAAAAGGTCTGCAGTTCAAAACCACCACCAGCTCCAACGGAGAAAGACAGGGCTTTTGACTCCCGTAAAAAGCTACAGTCACAAAACTCACAGGGCAGTACTATCCTATCCTACCCAGTTCTCTCCTGCTACTCTGAGTTGGAATTGACTCAGTGGCAGTGAGCTTATATGTTCTAGCTTCTAAATCTTTTGGTCACCTTATTTAACCTCTCTGTGGTACATGACACATGTGGTATATGAATGACCCTCTCCTTCAAACATCTCTTAATCTCCTTTTGGGCACACTATACTTAATTTGTTTTTCTCCTACTCTACAAACTATTTCTTCTCAATCTGCCTTGCTGGAAATTTCTCTTTCTGGTGTCCAAATGTTAAAGGAGGGGTGGGGGTGGCAGCTTGGGGTACAGAAGGGCGATAGGACTTTGCTTCTGAGACTTCCTTTTTCTTCCTCTAGGTGGACTCTAGTTAAGTCCCACATCTTTAAATATCAGTTATAAGCCGACAACTCTCACATTTCGCTTTAGCATTGACCTCTCTACTGAGATACAGACCAAATCGCTGCTTATTGCTTATTTCCACGGTGTAGATAGAACAAGGATCTCAAACTTAACAAGTCCAAAGAAAACTCCTGATTCCCACTCAACCTTAACGCTTCCTTCTGAGTCAAAGGCAACTCCACTCACACATTTGCTCAGACTAACAACCAAGAACTTGTCGCTGATTTCTTTCTCTCTTCTTCGATTACTTCACACTCAATCCATCAGCAAATTTTCTTTCTCTTCTTCTATTACTTTACACTCAATCCATTAGCGAATTCCGTTAGCTCGACCTCAACTACACCCTGACAGGACAGCAGCTCACACCCCTCCCACCATCACCCTACGGCATTTCCCATGCTCCTCTCAGCTCTCTGTTCCCCCTCTTGCCCCTCCCACACTGTTCTCCACAGAGAAGCCACAAAAGTCATTTCGATTATGTCACTGTATCTTCAATACAAGGAGCCCTGGTGGCTTATGCTTCTAGTTGACCTGACCCCTACCTATCCCATCTGTAGTCATTATGGATCACCCCTCGCTGATACTGCACACAGCAGCACTCTGCTTTTTGTATGCTTCTTACAGCTTCTTACAGCAGTATGTGCATTGCTCTCTATCTGCCCGGACTTCTCTTCTCATGCAATTCCCAGAGCCTGCTTCCTTATCGCTCGCCATTTCCTGCTCAAACATTTCCATAGGAAGGACTCTCTGATCACCCTGTATAAAATAAAATCCCTATTTTATTATTTTTATGGCATTAACTGGTGTATGTCTGTTTATCTCTCTGTCTGTATATATGAATTTAAACTGCAAGAAGGCAAATAATTTGTCTCATTCCCAAAGTCCTTAGAACACACACAAAACCACAACCAAATATCTAATCTGTTGCCCAGTCCTTTGAGACCCCAAGTGACCCTACAAGACGGAGTAGGGACGGCTGCCCCACAAGGTTTCCGAGGCGGTCTCTTCATGGACAGAGCCACGGTGGCGCTGAGTTGGACTGAGAATCAAACCACCAGCAATTCAAATCCACTGGCTTCACATAGGGACAAAGAGGCTGCTGCTCCTGGAAAGACCGACAGCCGCCCAAACTCTCTACAGGGTCGCTGTGAAAGGGCATCAACTCAATGGTGGCGGGTCAGGGAGTTTGACTGAGTCCTCAGAGAAGCAGGCTGCCGTAGCTTTCTCTCACACAGTGGCTGGCGGATTCAAACCACAAACCTTTTGGTTAGCAGTAGAAAACTTAACCATTGTACCATAAGGGCTCCTTGTCCATCAGGAGTGGGGGTGGGGGAAACCCGTGTCCTCGAGTGCATTCTGACTCCTAGTGACCCCCTGCGACTGAGGAGAGTGGCTCCTCCGGGCTTCTGAGACTGTTCATCTTTCCAGGGGGAGTAAGCAGTCTCATCTCTCTCCCGTGCGGCTGCTGGCATCTGTGCAATGCTTAGCTCACTCCTCCACTGAGAATGTTTCTCCTTAGAATAAGACTGGGAAATAGTAGGTTCTCCATAAATACCTGTTGAGGTTGTGGATCATGAGTATAATGGAGCAAAGGAGAAAGAATCCATTTAGGGGATTAGAAGAGACAATCCTATTAGAACAATGACCCAAACGAAATGGCCCCAGGAAAAAGCATTGTAATTAAAACCGTATTTTCCTCTGAACTTCACATAGCAAGTCCAGATTTCTCAACATTAAAGTATCAAAGTGGAGAAAACACTTAATAACATTGGAATCATGATTGCTTTCTTTTTATATGGATTTCACAGCCACATGAAATCATCTGCTCTAAGTTCCAGGCCAGGAGAGTTTTTTTGAGTATAGAATGATTTCAGAGCAGACTTTTGAAAGGTGCCAACCAAATGATGGTCATAGTGCCACCCTCAGTGGGAGAAACAGCACCCCAGGCGTGCTTGGGTTACCTTGATCTTCAGAAATTGTGAGCGTGAGTCTCTTTGCTGCTCTACTTCACTGCGGACGTGGTTGCAGAAAGCCACAGAGTACTGGCGGCTGTAGTAGGGACTGAAGTTTTTGATCGCAGCCTCAGTTTTCCCTGCAGACGAAAGGGAGAAAAGGAGAACTTTGAAATTAGATGTAAACATGATCATGACCACCTGTAGCGATGTCGTGTCTCCACGACAGAAGAAAACAAAGCTGAGTATGGCAAACGCATGGAGTCCCTGCTTGATGCGAGCCATTAATGGGCTCAGCAGCTAACTCACAAAGGCACCTCAGAAGAAAGGCCTGCCAATCCATCTCCTGAAAGTCAGCCATAGGACGCCCTGTGGAGCACCATTCAACTCTGACACACATGAAGTCGCAAGGAGTCCGAATCAACTCATGGCAAAGGGTCACGCATGCGGGGAGAGATTGGGGGTGGGAGTAAGACCCAGGTACCGGGATTGTGCTGGAGCTTCTCCAGTCAGTGCGGACTAGGGAGCGCAAGAGCTTCAAGCGAGAGAAGAGAATGGAGGAGAGGGCAAAGGAGTGCTCTGAAGCCCATTTGAAAACCCTCCTTACAGCTGATGGACTTTCGGCCGCGTGCAGAAAGCAATGGAGTTTGCACAGATTGCTACAAGTTGTTAGTCCTTAGGATTCGATATTAGCTCGAGGGAAAATAAACCTGCTATGACACTCCAAAAAGTTTCATAATGCTTTCATGGGCAGTGGACATACTTTTGGTGTTGTTCTTCAAATTTGACTTTATAGTCAACCAACCCCCAAACTCACTGCCATGCAGTCAGTTCCGGTCGACAGGCTAGCAAGAGCGGCTTACAATGACTCTGTATGTGGACGTTCACAAACAGCTGAAGGATTCGCATCATATAGATTGAAGCATCCCATGTGTGAACTTTCAGTCCACATCTACCAGGGCCTAGGACTGTGGATTCGGAACCCCAAACCCCCATGTGCAAAATACTCGATAAGGGAATTCTACTTTTGTTCGGACATTTAGGCCTCATGATATGCATGTGGTAAGAGGGAATTCTTGGCTATTCCCCTCAATAAAATGCCTTTTACTGGTTGTATTTGGGGGCTTTAATAATGATAACTTGTAAGGCACTTTGTTGCCCACTAATAACAGGGTCTGTAGAAATGCACATAAAAATTCCTATCATTTGAATCAGGCATGATTTTACTTGCTTGTGAGTTTATAGCATTACTATTAATCAGTATTTGTATAAGACTTTAATACACACAGGCTTTATAACCATCTAATTGGTTATTACTTTCATTAGTTTTCATATAGCACAAGTACTAAAATTCTACATCCCTTTCATAATTTTCTTATGGTAAGGTGGGCTATCCTCAGAATTTCCACAATGAAAAGGAGGCTCACCTCCTTGGAACACATAAACGGTTAACAAAAGTTGCCCTCCAGTGCCAAGTCACCGCTTTTCATCCATCAAAAGAGCAGCCTATTAATTTCTGATGCTGATGTTTGCACTCTGGCAACACCTGGATGGAAATGAAAGGAGGTGGATATCCTTTTATGACGAGCTCTTCAAACCTTTGAAACCTGATTATCTGCTACATCACCAAGCCTCCTACAGGAACGCCCTGCTAAGGTGCTAGGATGCCACCACTCCCTCCCCAACAGGAGAAATGTGCTTCTATAATTGGGATATCTGTAGACGGTACCATCAGTCCAGCAGCAGTAAGCATCAGTTATAAAAGAAGGCATCACAGCTTTTATGATGCAAAAGAAGGCACCAGAGCGTGGCTAATTAACCTAGTGACCAGGTCAAAATATGAATAAAATCATCATTAGCTGTTTGAAAAATTAACCAGGCAGAGTAGAATCTCCCCATTCAGATTTCCAAGGCTGTGAATCTTCATAGAAGTAGACAATCTCAACCTTCTCTCAAGGAGCAGCTGCTGGGTTTGAACTGCAGACTTCATGTTTAACAGCTCAATGCGCAGCCCACAGTGCCACCAGAGCACCTAACCTCTGAATTTCAACCTAAAGAGCAGTGGGAAGCTGCTCACTGAAAGACCAGTGGTTCAAATTCACTAGATTATTCATGGCAGAAAGAGATGGCAGTCTGTTCTACAAAGATTATAGTCTTAGAAAGCCTATGAGGGAAGTTCTACTCTAGGATTTGTATGAGTTGGAATACACTCAATGGCAATGGTTTTAGAATGAAATTAAGAAAGCACCTTAACTAGAGACCTTGGGAATAAGAGAACCTTCTAGTGTTGGGGCAAAATACCACTGTGCTTAGGAAATGGACTCTGGACTGATAAAGACATGAATGGGTTCAAGTCCCATCTGTACCAGCCTGGGAGCTCCTGTGTGTCACTTCCTCTGTATGCTCACGTGTAAAACGAAGACAACAAGAGCAGCAAGCTTAGAGTGGTTGTAACGACTGCATAAAAGTATGGCTGGCACACACAGAAAGCATGTAGTAATGAAAACAACCATAATGATGGTAAGGGTGGAACACTCAAGCCACGCTTCAGAAGTAGGTCCTGACTGAACCAAGAACTAAGGAGAAGACAAAGAACAACCTGTTTACTCTGGCTCCTGCCTGGGCTCAACCTGGGCTGCTGTGCCCAGAATAGCGCCCCAACCCAGGGGAGGCTGCGAATAAACACATTTTCATGGCTGTTCCAGAACCCTTATCAGCACATACCAAACTGAAAAAGAAAGTTTCAGCCAAAAACTCAGGCCAACCGCCACGGAATTGATTCCAACTCATAGCGACCCTGCAGGGCAGAGTGGAAGTGCCCCAGGTGTGTAACTCCTTAACGGAAGCACTGTCAGGTCTTTCTCCTGCAGAGAGGTTGGTGGGTTCAAATCACTGACCTTTGGGTTAGCAGCTGAGTGCTTTAACCACTGCACCACCAGAGTTACTCATCAGTACAAAAGAGACCTTAACTGCTTCCCTGAACCGAAACCAACTAAATAAAGCTTCAGCTTTAAGGAGCTGAAGAGAAAAACGTAAGTTGCTAGTTGTGTTTCAGTAAGTCTTTTCCCTAAGCCTCAATTTTCTTATCTCAAAAATGCAGATAAGACCACAGAACAATTGCAAAGGACGAAATTGGGTTGTCTGCAGGCCCAAGTGCCCAGAACAATGCCTGGCACATATTAGTCGCTCAATAACTTTGAACAATTATTTAATACTCCACCATGAAAATATTCAAATAAGTGGACCGGCCTGTAGGTGGGCGCCGCATAAAATAACCTCAAGTTGTTGAGATTACGCACAATTTTTGAGACTCCTGAGTACTGAGTTGCCTTCATTTCCTCTCTAAATTTGCACATTTTCTTTCCCAGATTGTTTGTAAAACGCAGTGCCTGGCCTTCCGCTCAAAGGAGACTCCTGAGTCCCAGCAAGACTAGAGCCAAGGGAAGGGCTGCTTCAACTCTTGGTGTCCCCGCACTGCGGGGGCAGGCGCTTGTCTTCTCATCTTCCTTCATCTTATTCTAATGCAGTCGTGCACGGCATAGTACTGCTACAATCCTCTTAACCCAGCTGCTCAAAGCCCCCTTTGGGGTAATCATTGTTTACGAAAGCTGAAAGAAGCCTCTTTGACAGCTCTACCTACAAAATTTAGCTTCAGTTGTAAACATAAGAAAAACATCTGTTGGCCAGGCTCTAAAAATTCGGCATGTCACATGACTTCCCTCCAACTCCCATAAGCAATAATCAGATCTTTTCGTGTTTAAATCCACAATCGCTCTTGAATCCATACTCTTTCTCCACCCCAGCGTCCACACCTTCAGTCAAGTCTCATAGTTTTTCAACAACACTGCAAACGTTTCTGAATCTGCTCTAGCTTGGCTTCATGGCAAATCAAAATACCACTAGCTCTCGGCTCTAAAAGAGGAACCAGAGGCAAAGCCAGGGTAAGTGAAGGGAGTGGCCAGGACTGAGACACAAATCCAGGAGGATTCTAAGGAATAAGCCAAAGCATGGTTTGCATAGCACAGGAGGATGGTGGGAAGTGGTGAGAGCCCAGACCAGAAACAGCAAAACAAGGAGAAGCTGAATCCAAGCTAGCACCATAATCGCATTCAGGATAACCCAAAAAACCCACAGTCTGCAAGCTGATTCTGAACGCACAGCAACCTTCAATAGGATTTACAAGACTGTCCATCTTTACAGGAGCAGACACCCCATCTTTCACCTGAGGAGCAGCTGGTGGGTTTGAACTGCCAACCTTGTAGTTAGTAGCTAGACACCTAATCCACAGCACCACCGGAGCTCCCTCTCTTAAGACAAAAGTTGACATAAATTATCAAGGTCCATGTGTTAGAGTGGGACTCCATCCTTCAGGACCAAATTTAACATTATTAATTCTAATAGGAAACTTGAACACCAAGAGGCACACACACCTCCTTAGCCACAGATGCACAATCCTGTGGGCTGTGGCCTGACAAATGATCACTTACAGGTCTCTGCCAAAACATGTCGGGATTTTTGTACAAACTGTTCATGATTTCCCACTGCATGGAGTAGTAACAGTACCAAGTAGTTGAGCACTGATAGCTCTTGATCGGGCCCCAACCCATAAAACCAACTCACTGCCATCAAGTTCATTCCCACTCATAGCAACCCTACACAACAGAGTAGACCTGCCCCATACGGATTGTGAGAATGGAAATCTTTATGGAAGCAGACTGCCTCCTCTTTCTCCCATGGATGGACTGGTAGACGACTCCAGTTCGCAGGCCACGGTGCCACCAGGACTCCAGACGTGGCCCAGTTGTCCTTATATCCCTTTCCCCTGCATATATATACCCATGCCTTCGCCCTCATTTCTGCCCCCACAACACCCTGCAAGCCCACTTCTGGACCCTTCAAACCTGGGCTACAATCCCAAGCTCCAGGTGTCCACAATCTCACCTTCTCTTGTATTCTCAAAAAACTGTGCACCACTTTTGCGACAGCTGTTTAAATATACCTTATCATTCCGCCAAGGCTGCATTTATAATCCTCAGCCAGTATGTGTGGGATGAACTGAAAGAGCGGCTGTTTGCATAGCTGAGAGCAAAGCAAATTAGAGTGCACTATGATGATGAAGCCCATGCCAGTGTCCCAAGAA